GCGGGGGGGTTGGACTAGATGACCCACAGAGGTCCCTTCCAACCCCTACTATTCTGTGATTCTGTGATTCTGTAATAATTACTTAGCTCCTCGACACTATATCTCAACATACCTTCCTTACCAGAAGTATAATGCATCTTCCTGCTGTTACACCTGTATGTGCACAAAGGTGATATAAGCATGTCAACTACACAAATGTAACTGTAGTAGTACAAGATTCTGTGATTCTGTAATAATTACTTAGCTCCTCGACACTATATCTCAACATACCTTCCTTACCAGAAGTATAATGCATCTTCCTGCTGTTACACCTGTATGTGCACAAAGGTGATATAAGCATGTCAACTACACAAATGTAACTGTAGTAGTACAACTGTTTTTTATCGCTTGCGTTTAACATTTTCTCTTGTGGCATAACTACAGAACAAACCTGTGCAAATTTTTAAAAGTAAGTAGTTGTTCCTGATCTCCCCTCCTGCAAGCTCTTTCGAGGAAGGAGACCCTCTTTTGCAAGTGCTTTTCAATGACAAAAACACAAGGTACGTGTCACCCACTTCTGGCTGCAAGTATTCAGACAGGTCTCTTTCTCATATGTAGGCTTCAGAAAAACTGAGGACTATCTCCCCATTTCATGATGACAGTAATTTCAAGCTATACACCGGGCAGATGCAGAATCACAGAATGTTGTGGGTTGGAAGCGACCTCTGGGGATCATCTAGTCCAACCCCCTGCCGAAGCAGGGTCACCTACAGCAGGCTGCACAGGACCTTGTCCAGACAGGTCTTGAATATCTCCAGAGAAGCAGACTCCACAACCTCCCTGGGCAGCCTGTTCCAGTGCTCCATCACCCTCAGAGGGAAGAAGTTCTTCCTCATGTTCAGATGCAACTTCCTGTGCTTCAATTTGTGCCCTTTGCCCCTTGTCCTGTCGCTGGGCACCACTGAAAAGAGTCTGGCCCTGTCCTCCTGACACCCACCCTTCAGATATTTATAGGCATTGATAAGGTCCCCTTGCAGCCTTCTCTTCTCCAGGCTGAACAAGCCCAGCTCCCTCAGCCAGTCCCCTCATCATCCTCATAGCCCTAGACACTGGCTCTTCTGAACTATTCCATATCTACCTGAGCCCTGTAAGGACAGCAAAATGAGGATCAGGTGGATGGCCCACAAAGCTCTTCATGATCCCTGCAAACAGTCTGCAAGCACACATCCTCAGTCATTACCACTGTCTTAAAATCACACCAT